GAAGGACCGCTTCTACTGTTAAAACTAATGCATGCACGTACACACAAACACACGTGCAAACACACTGACTCTGCTCCACATACTTCCCTACACACACATGTACATGGACTCATGTACCACACACACACATACCATACACACAACCACACACGTCCTCAGGCGCACACACAAACATACTCACAACCACATACATCCCCAGGTGCACGCGTGCACAGCCACACACACACTCACAGTCATGTACCACACAATTCCCCAGGTACGTATGTGCGCACACACACGTCATACACACCTTTGGCGTTATTCTAAATCAATTTACAATTGAGGGTCACAGTGTCCATCGTTTTATCCGCTCAGAAGATCCTGACTTCGGAGCGTGAAGCAGCAGCCCCTCCTCTCTGGAGACGGTCTTTGCCACTTACAGTCTCAGTAGAGCCAACATAACTGCTCTGGACCTTTGGAAGTGCAGTTCCAGAGCATACCTGGGAGCTCACTTCCTATATATCTAAACATCTTAATTGCAGGAGGTTTTAAGTTCCTGCCTTTACAAATATACATTCATTATAAGTGGGAAGGCCAGGTTCAAAATTAGAATTCCCAGACTCAGGGGAGTCCTGCAGAGAAAGTGAGCATGCGGGGAGAGCTGATTCTCAGTCTCTGATCGCTAGCCTGACCCTTTTCTTCCCAATGCTGGGTCCATCCCTTGCCACAAGTGGCCTTGGATGTGCACAGGGGGACACTCAGAACTCACGTCCGGGATCTGCTCATACCCTCCATGCAAAGAGCTGCCCTTTGGCCTCTCTGTGAATCTTGGGAATCGGAACTCCGGGGAGAGCTGGTGCAGGCACTAGAAATGGGTCAGGGGCTGCTGAGTCAGGGCATTCGGGGTCCTGGGTTTCTAGAGCACGGGATGGAGCCAATGACCATGTCCCCTTGGCCCTGCTGACTCCACCCAATGGAGGGCGTGGCCAGAAGAAGTGTCAGGGCCAGGGGGACACTCTGCAGTGCAGGACCAGGGCAGCAGGCCCCCTTGCCGGGGTCTAAGGCGTGAAGCCCTAAGGAAAGGTCTGAGGAGGCTGTAAGGTATCCTCATTCCCATTAATTAAAAAAAAAAAAGCTTACCACAGGCGTGCGTGGGAAGGGTTTTGTTGTAACAAGGGAAGGCACTTGCCAAGGTCTGGCCATAGAGGGCTGGTGGGATTGCCAGGTTGATGAGGAAGCGAGAGGCCGTTAGCCTCCCCTGGGTCTAAACACTGCCTGAATTCCTCCAGGTGACACTTAAATGCAGTGAGACATGGAACCCTCTCAAGTTGTTAAAATATTCATGGTGAGCCATTCATCTCTCTACTCATTCTTGGCTATGAAAGCACGATAAACACAGGTGGGAATCTCCTCAGCCTGTTGGTTGGTTCACTGTCCAGCTGGCGCCCCCTCTTGTAGGAGCCTTTATCACATCACCCAGGGCTGACCCATCTCAGGATTACAGTTGATTTTCCGCAGGTGGCATCACTTGCTGGTGACACGAAGGAGGCATGTTAGCCACCTCTCAAACACTGAGGCTTCTCCTGGGAGGAGCCTGCAGACCCCCAGTCCAGCCTCTGCACAATTATGCTCCTCAATGTCACTCCCAGCTTGCTGCTCTGGCCTCTAACTCTGGCCAGAACCTCACTGGATTGTCGATAAATGTCACCCATGCACCACGTCTAAGCTTGGGGTCCAGATGTGACCATGGTTCTTATTTTCTTCCCATCGATGGATTTTTTGATCTTCGTGTAATCATGTCGGCAGGAAGGCCAGTACCGCCCTCTTGAGGCCTCCCTGAGAAGCCTCTATCTATAACTGTCCTAGCGCCCCAGGGAATCGGGTCTGAAGCCTGGCACTCAGAAACAATGACAGCTGGAGAGACAGGAATCCACTCCTACTGTGGCATCTGCTGAGGCTCAAAGTGGCCATAAAAATGGATCCCACAGGCCCTGACGTCACTTGACTCACTGCAGGGATGCTCCCACACTGCTGCGTTCCCCCCAGAGACCGAGGGCTTTCTGCTTGTTCCCGAAGGCCCCACCCCCGAGGGGGCACTTGGTCCAGTGGAGCGTCCAGCCTGCTTCCCCGCCAGCCCTTAGGGCTTTCGTGGGGCCTGGAACATCAACTACCCTCCCCTTAGCGGCCCGTTTGTCTTTCCAGCCAACAGACCTAGGTCATAAGCACTTTAACTCACCTGAGGGTGTTTTCCTCACTTCAGGGGCAC